GTGTGTGTGTGTGTGTGTGTGTGTGTGAGAGAGAGAGAGAGTGAGTGTGTGTGTGAGTCTGTGTGTGTGTGTGAGTGTGAGTGAGTGTGTCTGACGGGTCAGAGGTCAAAGACACTCACTGCCGCTGTACTTCGGCACCCAGCGGACGGAGGGCGGCAGTCCGTTGATGTTGAAGTGTTTCCCGTCGAACTGCGCACACTGCTCTTCTCTGAAATCCCTCCAGCCGCGGGGACACGGATCCGTGTTACACGAGCGGAACTTCGTTCTGCGGCCCACACAAAACCGGCCTCCGTTCCTCGGCCTGAGAACCAGAAAGATATCTGTGCTGTTACACACTGAAAGAATAAGACCAGCCTCCAGTGACAGCCTTTTGATGGGAAGAACTGATTTAGTTTGAAAATTGGGCACATTTACAGACAAAGTTCTTAATGAAACAGAAACAGCAGCATTGTAAAATTTGTAACATTTCATACTTTTAGTGACATATTAGGGTGAATAAATATTACCTTGAAAATATAAAAACAAAAAACATCACCCTAAATACTTTAAAAAAAAAATGGTTGTATAAAAATATAATTCTATTTTAGGGCCATTAAAATCATATTTCACTCCAAAACTAAAAGAAAATTTTTAAATACTATATTTCGCCTAAACAAAATTACATATTGGAGTGAATAATTATCAGAATGAATTAATGAATGCTTTGCCACCTTCATGAAGGGACTTAGTAACCGAGTTGAGTTTTGAATGCATGTTCATGTGTTGATGCGCTCACTCTGGTTTATTGCAGTCTCGGGTTGTGCTGCATGTTCCTCCTCCACAGGTCCTGGAACACACACTGTAGGGGCCCCAGGGGCCCCATTCACCATGAACCGGCTTCATGTCCATCTCCTTATTCACACACATGCCGTGCCTGCAGTGCTGAACACACACAAACACATCATATCAGAAATTACATCATCTGGGGTCCAGAAATTAAGTGTCCACTAACCATGGTATTAAAAAAACGTTTAAAAAAATAAATAAACACACACACACACGTTTTATTATAATTAATTATTATTATTATTATTAAATATTAAAATATTTTTATGAAAATATAAAGATGCAATTTATAAATGTATATAAATATAAATTCATATATTTTTGCTCTCTCTTTCTGTCTAAAATCTTTATATACATTATATAAATATATAAAATATATAATTATATATTTATTATATATATATGAATTTTTTTATATATGAAAATGAATTATTATTAATTGCATTATTATTCAATAATTTACGCTCTCTCTCACTCTCTCTCTCTATATATATATAATGAAAAACAAATTAGTATTTATATTATTATTAAATATTAATAACACGTCACACCTGCTGGCCGTAACCGAATCCCTCGCTCCGCAGCGCTGACACAGAGTCACACAGAGCTCATTACAGTCTCGCTGTGTCCTCCTTCCTCTCTTCATACTCTCATCTGAAACAGTCTTCACTATCAAAGCCCTTCCTGCTTTCCTTCATCACAGAACCTGTAATGCTACGCTATTTTGATGCATACCACAGTACTGAAATTCATATGTTATGGTACTACAGCGTACTTTCAAAACATTTTGTGCCAAAAAACATGGCAGCATCACGGCACGTTTTGCAAGGGAAGAAACTATGGTACACTGTAAAACAATTTCTACCCATTTCAACTTAAAAACTTCTGTTCAGTTAAATTTTTAAAGGATAATAAACTTGGTCGTACAAGTCATTTCAACTTATTTTTTTACTGTACATATCGGTTTATTTCGGGAACTTTTTGCCCCACATGCACATTTGCAACAGTTTGTTTTGTACACACACAGATTGGTTCTAGTGATGTGACATGTGGCCAAGTATGGTGACTGCATTTATCCCATCCTAAGTGCACACACACAGCAGTGAACACACACACACCGTGAACACACACCCG